CAGAGAGAAACAACCAGTCAAAGGAAAATGAGCTGGATTTAGAGTCCAGCAGAGTGTAGGTTTGGGGGTGTTTGTGTGTTCAAAAATGTGCATGTGTTCCCAATCCCAAATTAACACTTCCGAATTTCATACGGTTATTAAATCTGAAGACATTCTGTGTTTCAAAATCACAGTGGGACTCATCTCCCCAGGGGAATTTGGAGATGGGGGGATGGTTTTCCCATTGCAGAAGCCTCCCCAGATGCTTACCCTGGACTGGTACCAGGACTCGGCCTCGGCTCGGTTGGCGATGTCCTCGTACTGCGCCTTCACCTCAGCGATGATGCCCTCCATGTCAAGGCTACGGTTGTTGTCCATGGTCAGGATAACAGAGGTGTCAGAGATCTTGCTCTGCATCTGGGACAGCTCCTGCAAAAGCAGCAAATATTCCTGAGTCACAACACAAATGTTGCTTGGAGGATGGAAAGCCCCATGGTTAGAGGGGAGAGCTGGGTGAACAAAAGGATTTTTCCAAGACAGCTTCAAGCAGAAATGTGAAATGGAAAAAGCATTGAATTATTTAGTGCAACACAGGGGAAAATAATCAGCCCTGAGGCTCTGAAATGGGAAAGGAAGGCAAGGACTGGGAGAAGGATATAAGCTCTGGTGCTCACAGCTTCGTAGAGGGCTCTGAAGAAGTCAATCTCCTCTGTGAGTGAATCCAGCGTGGCCTGCAGCTTTGTCTTCTCCAGGTAGGCAGTGTCCGCCTCCTAGGAGAGGAAACACATTACCAGAATGAGGTGAGTTTAAAAGAAGCAGAGGAAAAGCTGGAGAAAGGGTTTCTTGCAGGGCTGGGAGGCCACTTGGGCATGCACCCACCTTCTTCAGGGTCACAAACTCGTTCTCGACATCTGTGTGCTTGTTGAGCTCCTCTTCATACCTGTGGAATGGAGGTGGAGGGGTGGTCTAGGCTTGTTTTAAAATTATTTCATGTTTTCAGGACCAGCCTCTAATTTTTTTGTATGTAGAGCTCTGCACCTTGGTCTTTTTGCCCTGTAATTTTCTGCCTGTTACTTTTCAGCCGTATCTTGTATTAAACCTGGGCTTTTCTCAGAGAAGTAAGTCAGCAAAAAGGCTTTTTCCCCGCTCATTTTCTGCTTCTATTGCAGCCCACCCAGGCCCAGGTAGACCATGAACAGACTCACTTGTTCTTGAAGTCCTCAGCAATGCTCCGCATCTTGCTCAGCTCCCCTCCCAGGTTCTCCTTCTCTGTCATTAGGCTGCTCAGGTGCTTCCTGAGGTTATTCAGGTAGGTCTCAAACAGGGGCTCAATGTTCATTCTCACTGTTTTGTTCCCCTGTTCTTGCAGAAGAGCCCACTTTGTCTCCAGGACCTTGTTTTGTTGTTCAAGGAATCGGACCTGGAGAGAGAAGGGTATTTTAGCATGGTTTTCCTTGGAGATGTGAGGCACATCCTGCAAGGATTCACTTGCTGGAAGGTGGGAGGTCTCAGCCCTTCAGGAACAGCTGACAATTTAAACACTCCTGCTCTCTTTCCCAACTCTGCTTCCTTACATCCAGTATCACCACTTTGTCCCTGTTTTCTGGTCTCACTACAGCATTCCTGAAACAAGTAAATGGTCTCAAAGCTGGAAACCCTCAGGATTCGTTCCCAGGCTGCTGGAATTTTAGAGCTGACAGTACAGAAGCAGCAAAATTGTGGCCAAAGATACAATTCACCCTTGTTTGTGCTTCCCCACCAAAGAATCACCACAGCATAACCAGGAATCTCAGGTCTCACCTTGTCGATGAAGGAGGCAAATTTGTTGTTGAGGGT